GAGAGAGAGAGAGAGAGAGAGAGAGAGAGAGAGAGAGAGAGAGAGAGCGCAAATACATTCTTAAAAAGTGGTTTTAGCCCAGAGTCCTGGAGGCCCAAGAGCATGCTACTGCCAACTTTTCCCCTTCTGCTGAAGGCCTCCTATGGCAAACAGACAACACCTGCCAGAGTGAAGGAGGACAGGCTGACGTCAACACCCTTTCTCATCTCCCTTCACCATGGTGGACCTCTCATCATCTCTTAAGGGCCCACATTCTGACTGTTCAATACTGTGTTGCTGGGAACCTAACACAGCTAGACAAGGCAGGTGGACCCCTGTCATTTTCTAGGCCAGGATGTTAACGGTGCTTGAGAAGTCTGTACATTCTGGGCTTCTAGAAAACCTCCAGGGACCCTAGGCTGTCACCCCCCCAGCCCCTCTCACTCCTCAAACCATGTCCACCGTACTCCAGGTCCTCTTTTCTTTCCCCCTTGTTCTGTGCACCCTAACTCGACCTACAGCTGCCAGAGTTTCAAAGGAGGAAACTCTGATCTCCCCTTATCCACAGCCTAACTCCTCGGATAGCTTCATTTATACCCAACCTGAAAATATCAAAGGGGAAAATACACAAGTAAACAATCCTTAAGTTTTAAACTGCATGCTATTCCGAGGAATATGCTAAAATCCACCTCGGGTGGGAATCGCCCCTTTGTCCAATGTATCTAATGCTATGTGTTATCCCCAGTAACTGTCTTGGCTATTAAAGCTACTGTGAGGTGATCTGCACAGGTGCACAAGTAACACTCACAGGAGCGGTGAAGCTGGTGATGCATATTGCCTCAGAGAAGCCTGAGCAGCCAGCCTCCTTTGAGTGTCACCATAGTCAACCGCTAGGGATGGCTGTTCTATTATGTTAGCATCCTCTGAGCCAGACTCATAAACAGCATCACGCACACGCATGGTATGTGAAGGACTTCTGATTCAGGGTTTACTTGCTTCAAGGGAGGAGGCATCGGATATAGAACAGGGAGGTGTGGCTCAATGGTAGAGTGCTTGCTTAGCAGGGGCCCTGCCGTCTGTCTCTACTACTGTAAGTGCTGACCAGTTTCCCAGGACTTAGCCTCTTCTCCAGGGACCAGACCTCAGGCTTGTGACCATGGACTGAGTAAATGCTTAGGGTCTGCCAAGTGGGAGGGAAGATTCCAGGGAGAGCATGAAGTTATCTGGGAAGGGACTGTCCAGCTGAGCTGTCCCAAAGTAGCGGGCAGCAGACGTAGCTTTGACACCAACAGGCAGCACCAGCTCTGAACTCTCCTCCCTGTTGCTTGCAGGATGTGAAGGACACCTTGACCAGGTACTGTCTCACCCTCAGTAGAGGTGGTGGTGGAGGTGGGTGAAGGCGGAGCACATGGGGAGTCAGAGGGGACACGAGTCTGTGTTCCCTGGAGGAAGGAGAACCTCAGCGTGCAGTACCCAGAGGTGGTCCTCCCTGTGGCTATCAAGACCGTGTGCAGAGTTCCAGGACAGATAGAGGTGCTCAAAAGTTTCCAAGGTAAGTGGAGACCCAGGGCTCCAACGACCCCAGTTCCCTGGGTACTGCTCTGCCTTACCTGGATGCCACACAGGACCAGAGCTACCAACTAGAAATTAGTGTCTTAAACTATACTTACCATCTTTTCAAGTCTGACTGCTGAATTAAGTTTGCCCCATTTAGCCCTGGTGACTCACCATCATCAATACCCACAGGGATCTGTAGTGTAGAACCCTTAGCTAACCCCAACCAGCTGAGACTGGTGGGAAGGAGGCTTTTGGGTATGGAAAAGAGCCATTTGGCCACTGTGTCCTAGCTCACCCATCGTGAGGGTTCTGGCCCATCCACCTTGAATGACCCCTACTTTTGTCTGTCCACTTGGACCCTTTGCAGAGGATGTGATGCCGGACCCCAGCTCAGCATATCCCTATCTCCTCTTGTACGAGAGTCGCCAGAGGCGGTACTTGAGCTCACCACCAGAGGGCAGCACCCCCTACAGCAAGGACCGGTTCCTGGCCTACCCCTGCGCTGTGGGGCAGAAGAGCTTTTCCTCTGGAAGGCACTATTGGGAAGTGGGCATGAATCTCACCGGGGATGCACTCTGGTCCTTGGGGGTGTGCAGGGACAATGTGAGCCGGAAGGACAGGGTGCTTAAGTCCCCAGAAAATGGCTTCTGGGTAGTGCAGCTGTCCAAGGGGAAGAAACATCTGTCCTTGTTACCCAATTCCATTCCAGTCACTCTCACGGAGCCTCCCAGCCACATGGGTATCTTCCTGGACTTTCAGGCCGGGGAGGTGTCCTTCTACAGTGTGAACGATGGGTCTCACTTACACAGCTTCTCCCAGGCTGCCTTCCCTGGGCCGCTGCTGCCATTCTTCTGCTTGGGGGCTCCAAAGTCGGGCCAAATGGTCATCTCCACAGTGACCATGTGGGTGAAGGGATAGAGGCTTGGGGCTGGGCACAGACACTGGGTGTGCCATGGTTCCCCAGAAGGCAGGGTGCTTCACCACCGTGGCCATCTACCCCATCTCTGGGGTGCTAAGAGTTAATACTTGTGCTGGCAGGGCAACTAACCGAAATACAATCAAGATTAAAATGCTCAAGTGAGAACGACTACAGATAAGATGCTAAATGGGGGAACTTTGGAAAGAGTCCTGACTATCTCAGAGTGGACTCATTTCTAAATATATACCTGCTCACCAGGCAAGTTGGTCTTCTGTTTTGCTAGCTTTCTCCCTCCCCCAAGCTTGTTAATATCTTGCTTCCTAGTGCCCTTCTCTGGCCACAGATCCTTGACACAGAAAGTGGGGCCTCTTAAGAAAATTGTGGGCTCCTCTCCCCTTCCTCCACATATCCTTCCCTAACACCCTCCCCCAAGGACCCCTCACTTCCCACTCCCGTTATAAGTCACTAGCACCCCAGGACTCAGGTGAGGCGGTGTACTGGTATAGTGCACCTTTCCACTGTAACCCTCCTGGGTCCATGGTGTGACATGTATCTTGTTTCCCATTGAGGTCACTCAGATCTACCACAGACATGAGGGTGGTACTGGAGGTTCTGAGCAACAACAGCCCAGGGGGGGCTGTGGGCTACAAACACAGGGTAAAAGTGCAAAGGGAAACCACCAACTCCCTTGGCTACCACTCTCGGGGGGTTTCCACATCCTTGAGGTAGACCAGCAGTACTCTGCATCCCTTTCTGAGCCCTGGAGTTACCCATGTGTGCATGCTCATGTCTTCTCTCATGGCCCCTGCTCCCAGGATAACTCTGAGACTCAAATATATTTACAAATACCTAGGCCACAAACAGTGGCTGTTCCCTAACTAGCTCATAAGCTACTCGTCCCACTATCTAAGTTCTGACACAGGGCTGATGACCTACCTGGTCCTCAGGTTTTGCTACTGCATACATACATCAGCGTTAAGGGGTCAATCTTCCACCTGTCTCTATCCCAGCATCCCCCTCCTCTTGCTCTGTCAGATGTCCCGTCAAATCTGGCTCATCTCACTGGCCAATCAGCCTTTTATTGACAGGTGAATGCTTTTACACAGTGAACAAGAGATTCTCTCTACATTTCCCATATAATAACATAATTTCATAATATACAATAACATATTGTTATACAATAACAATTATGAAAACTACCAGGTAAGATTCACATCCATAATGTCCAGTCCATATGTTTTGGAAACCTTGGAGAAAGTACTCCGTTATCCACCCTATGTTGGTGAGTTCAGAGTTCTGTACCTAAATCAATTTCTATTATAACTTGCATTACTAACTTAAAATCCTAAACAATTCAGGCTTAATTGTGAGACTATAACTATCTAGTCTTCAACCCCGGGGACCTGAGAAGGGATAAATACCACCTGAATGTGTAGCAAGTGCAGGCAAGCAGCTTCCAAAACGATAGACATGTCAGGCTGGCTGTCACAGTCCCCCCAAGTTCCTGTATGACGTGGAGCATCGATCTTTAGCTCTCTGGTCCGGTATATCTGACAGACTTCTCTGTGAAGCAGGAATTATGAAGGACTTGCCTATCTTGTTCTTGCAAGGCTTGGCAGCCGAGTTCCCTGTGTCCCAGTTTGTCCATTTTGGACAGCATTCTGTCAGCAGTTGAAGCACAGACAGTTTCTTGCCCAGTGGTAGCTTGCCACATTTGAAGCAAACTCCATAGGGAGAGTCTTTGATGCTCACCTTTCTTTGAAGTACAAAAATGGGTTCTGTCAGGAGCAGACCTATCTCACTGTCAAAAAAAAAAAAACCTTTTAATAATAAAATATCTTTAAATGTCATATTCTGTAGATCTCTGGTGTTCCTGAAAACCATCTGCAACTGAATTGTCTGTTTCTAGCTATTCACTATCTGATGAACCTTGAAAACGTCTACTGGAGACTAAATAAAACTTATTTTGAAAATAACTAAGCTAGTACCTTTAAGACCATACATTTGATTGACTATTAACTTATATTAATTATTCTAAGCAGTTGGTAATAGCAGCTTTTAAAAGATCAGGAGCTTAATATTATATTAATCACCTAGGTACAATACTGCAAATAAGAGTTGAAAACATAGTGTGTTAGCAAATATAACTTCAATTTTGCATCAAAGTACAAAGATATATACCAATGTAACAAAATATAATCTCGATTTTGTATCAATATACAAAGATCTATACTAATGTAACATTTTTGGCTTGTTAATGCTCTTTGATCTAAAAATTGATCTAATAATCTATCCTTTTTTCCTATTACCCCTATATCCCTCTTTCCCCTTAACACAAGATAGCAGAGAAAGGATGGGGAAAGAAAGGGAGAAATTCCTGAGTCTGACCATTACTGTTTCCTCCCTGATCCAAGACAACTTGTAACCACCCCTCCTTAAGTGACAAACATCCATAACCCATTCAACTACCAAAACTATCACCCACCCCACCTTTTGGGAATGGGGTGTCGCTCTCTTAAAATTGTCGTCTGCTGATTGGGGGCATAGCTTCCTTTTAGGGGCCCAAGAAAACTGGGAAAATGGTCAAATCCTAAGAAAGCTAGCTGTAGCAGTTGCTGTCCTGTCTCTATGGGCTGAAAAAGTTCAGGGCTTTAACTGAAGTCCTGACTACAACAGTCTGTGATGCTGACCAACCGGGGCCAAGTAGCTTTCTTTGAAGCTATCCTGGATGCAGAATTTCAAGGAAACATCATTGAGTACATTTGAGGTAGGATCATGCAAGATGCTGGAATAAATGCTGTAGGGGTCCTTGATTTGCTGAAGAATAATACTCCAGACTCAAATTGTAAGCAAAAGCAAAGAGTGTTTTATTCTGCAGAAGTCCAGCATGCTGGGGTCTACCGTTTACCAAGAGATGCTCAAGTGAGCTCACAGGACCAATTTAAAGCACATTAGGGGGAATTCCAGAGAGGGGTAGGTGACCTTATCTTAACTGGTTGGCTCTATATCTAGGGATATTCCAGAACCACTGCTGGGGGTGGGGGTGAGTTGCTGACTGTTGCTGGGGAAGCCTGGAAACTGTTACTGACCATTGCCCTTGCCTCAGGCCAGGTGGTAGGGCAGCTACTGACGGTTCGGCAGTTTCTGATTGGCTGCCCAAGGCCTGGAGTTTTTCTAGTAACTGATTTGCCTGGACTTGCCCAGTTCTTGGAAACAGAGTTTGAAGCTGTCACTCTGTCTCAGTCCTCTCACTACACCTCAGCATCTCGGCATCCTCAAGGTGAATCTTGTCAGGGCTGCTTTTCTGGTGGGTTTTCTCTGTGAACATATAAACTTTCAAAGGTATTATACATTTCCGCATTAACGTAAGTATGAGGTGTGCAGTGTACATAGACCAGTGAGAGATGAGTCTCTGCTCTTTGAGTAGATGAAAGACATCTGTCTTTGTAAGTTGGTTTGGATTGTCTGACCAAACCGGAACATAAACATTCATCCGCACCATATGGAGGGACGGAATGACGAGTCCTGAGTGTTCCCCCACAAGTCTGTCTCTTGTTGATCTAGTCATTAGTCCTGTCAGCCTTTGCCACATTTTTTTTTTTGTGTGTATTTCAGATGGCAACCTGCAGGCGCGGGGTCGAGGGGCCAAGAGAGAGAGAAGGGGGCAAGCAGCCCCTTTTATAGTGGGCAGGGCTACCTGCCTGTTGCCAGGTAGCTGTGGGAAGGAACGTACCTGGCTGTTCCCAGGTGACTGTGGAGGTGGAGTTTAGACAGATTACTAACAGCTGGGCCTTCTTTTTAGCTTATCTCTAGAAAAACATTGTTTTTAGGAACGCTTTGCCTATAATCCCTTTTGACCTTATTTACCATAATTGAAATATCTGACATTTTGATTTTTTTTAAAACCTTTAAAGATTTTTTTTCTATTAAAGTGACATCTGTTTTTGTGTCCATTAATCCTTTGATCTCAAGTCTACCCAGCTGTAATCTAACTTTGGTCTCTTACCATTTGCAGTAGTTTGTCACGACATCTGACTCTTGGTATCTTTAGAATCTCATGTTTTATCTGTAAGAGCAACTCTCTATTAAATGCTTTACTTATATTTTGAGCAGTTATTTGTCCTATCAGGCTTAGATCTTTCTAGGTGTTTTTAGAATGCTCCTTCCTTGGTGGACAGGAAGCAAATGGCTCATGTCGGGTTTTGTTGAGCCCGGAGCAAAGCCTCTTGGATGAGTGGCATTCCTGAGCCTTATATCCATTCCTTCACATCTTCTACATTTCACAGGAAACTTCTTCCCTGAATTATTATTATAGAATTTATCCTGAGGAACTGTTTGTCTCCAGTCCCTTAGGGAATGGCATGCTGATTCCCAGCCACAGCCTCGCGCCTTGTGTGCTGTTGTCCCACCATAACAGAATTGTGAGTATTAAACTCTATATCCCCACGAGTGTTCATCCATTTATAAAGAGGTACAGATATGGCCCTTAAATGTCTAGTAGCCTTTTGGCATTCAGCATTAGCATTTTTAAAAGCTAAAGGTTCAATTAAAATTTCTCTAGCAGTTGGATCTGATATTGCTCTATTTAGAGCTATAGTTATTCCTTGTAAAAAGCCAGTGAAAGATTCATTTGAACCCTGGGTTATCTTTGTAAACGATTGAGCTCCACCCTGATTAGGCAATTGTAAGGCAATATTGTTCCAGGATAGCATCATCAAGGGTAATCTGTACTCTCAATTCAGAATAGACCTTCACTTAGTAACTGATCCCTGACAATATCAATGCCTCCAGTCCTATTTCATTGCCCCATGACTGAAGTCTCATCTTTCCACCATGTCAGCCGTTGTAATTGAGGTCCAGGCTCTAGGATGGCTGGCATCAAAGCTCTCCAATTGTTTGGAATTATATGATTTTGTGTGGCCCAGTTATTACATATGGTGAATGTAAGCCATAGCTCATTACTGCTTCCTTAAACTTTCTAAAATCCCGTGCCTCTATAAGTTGCCACTCAAATTCTGGATAACAATGTGGCTCTCTTTCATCTCCTCCCAGTTCCTTTATCATGTCTGGGGAAACCATTTTAGGTTTTTTAACAGTTATAGATTGCCCTTTTCAGTCTGTTACAAGCCAGTGCTATATGTTCTGGCCCTCTTTCCTCTATCCCAGTATCTTTCTTGATTCTAATTATAATTTTCTAATTTCTAAGGCCCATCACCATTTTTTTATATTTTTCTTCTTATAGCTCTACTATCTTAGTATTTTCTTCATTTTTATCTTTCCAGTTTCTCTCCTATGGCCTGTCTCCATTTTCATCTCTTCTTGTATCTCTACTACTTTGGAGTTTTCCTCATTTTTATAATTTTTTCTAATTTTTCTTTTAAGATCTGTAATCTACCATTCCATCTTCCAGTCCTCTCCTTATCTGCGTCTGCTTTCATTTGATCTCTCTTAAAAAGGACATATAAAATTGTAATCATTACTGAAAAAATAATTTCTATGCTGGTATGTATAACAAAATTATAGGGAATCCAGATGCCCTGTGCCACTGAGTTTCTTTCCATTTTTAACATAGAAAATATGTTTTCCTTTAATTTCTCTCTCCTTAAAGACTTTGATTTACCAATTTTAAACGATATTTAGCTACCATGTTTTATATTTAGTCTCTTTCCCCTTTTATTGTTTTCCAACTGAATACCTTACCAGTTCGTAAGTTTGGGGCTTTTTAGTCCCACGGCAGCTGCGGGAAAATGTTCCTTTTGCCCTTTAGTGCGTCTGCAGGTTCCACAGACCAGGAAGTATCTATGGCGGCTAACTTCATCCCATCAGCTCAGTTCAGGAGGCTGCCCCATTGGTTCCACCTTCTGCAGGCCCTGGCCAGCCCTTCCCGACGTGCTGCCCGTTGAAGGGCTTTAGGTCTTTACCTGCAGTCACCGGCTGGAAGCCAGCCCTACTTGTCCCAGCTCTGGGTCGCAAACTGCGCTTAGTTCGTGCAGTTCTGAGAAGCTGCTCACCTGCAGGACACACCAGAGGCTCGTGGCATGCCGCTGCCTGACTCTCAGCAGCCGCGGGAGTGCAAGACCGCCCGGGCCGCTGCAGATGCAGGCTGGGGTGCGTTCCGGCTCGCTACCCACAGTTGCTCCGACTGCTGCTCAGGTGCTCGGCCTGCCGCTGCGGAAAATCTTAAAGTAGCCGTGCCTGGCTTTCTAGTCCAGCTGCCGCTGTCCAGAACTTTTCTAAGTCGCTGGCCCCAGCAAGGTCGGATGCACTCGCGGCAGAAGTGGCCGCAATCGGCCATCACCATAAGCTTTGGCTGTTCCCTGATTAGTGCATAATCAGCCCGTTATTCTAAGTTCTGCTGCTTGTAGCTGGTTACCTGGTCCTCAGTTTTTGCTATCTCCCTCATCGTTCTGGGGCCAAACTTCCGCCTGTGTGGATTCCAGCATCCACCCTCTCTTTTCCAGATATCCCACCTTCTAATTTCCTGCCTAAGCTCATTGGCCATTTTAATGACTGGCAAATGTTTTTACACAGTGCACAAGAAATTATCAACAGAACCCACGGCCAAAGTTTATAGCACCCTGGTCTGGGGGAGCCGGGACACCACCCCCGGAAACCTGTCACCACGAAAATGCGATCTGTTGCACTATAATTCGATCCCACCCCCGAGCCGTGTGATAAACAGTGGCCAATCCAAGACAAAAGCGGGTTCTAAATACTAAAAATCAGTTTCCTGCTTCCGCCGCGGTTTCTCTTCCGCCGGAAGGCTGCGAGCCTAGTGCTGGATGTACCCACTGCCCAGACGCTGAGAGTTCTCCTACCTGCTCACGGCCCTCGCCCCCTGCGCTCTCACGGCGGAGTAGCTTGATCCCCCTGCACCACGAAGAGCCTGATCCAGGCGCAGCCGCCAGCACCATGGCCGCCCCAGACTTGTCCACCAACCTCCAGGAGGAGGCCACCTGCGCCATCTGCCTTGATTACTTCACCGACCCGGTGATGACCGACTGCGGCCACAACTTCTGCCGCGAGTGCATCCAACGTTGCTGGGGCCAGCCCGAGGGCCCGTACGCGTGCCCCGAGTGCCGCGAGCTGTCGGCGCAGAGGAACCTACGACCCAACCGCCCGCTCGCCAAAATGGCAGAAATGGCACGGCGCCTGCACCCGCCTTCGCCGGTCCCGCAGGGCGTATGCGCGGCGCACCGCGAGCCGCTGACCACCTTCTGCGGCGACGACCTCAGCCTGCTGTGCCCCACCTGCGAGCGCTCGGAGCACTGGGCTCACCGGGTGCGACCGCTGCAGGAGGCAGCCGACGACCTCAAGGTGCGTTCTATCAGGTGCAGCGGGTCCATGCCCGGTGCGAAGGGGTGTCCCGCTACTGCCCTGAGTTGAGGGAGTGTGAGTTACAGTTAGCTTGATCCTGTGAGGAGGTCGGGGTGTAGCTTGTCTTATTCCAGGATGAGATGCACGTGCATTCTGGGAAAAACCGGGTGTTGGTAGTCAGTTCTGACTCAGCTGGGAGAACTTGTGAAGGGCCCACTGTCACATCAACAGTTTGGCCTATGTCAGAATTGTTACTCGGCCAGTGTATTACCATCACAGCATGAACTCGGGTAACCAGGATAAACCAGGCACCAAGTCTTCTTTGCTTTGGATTTTAGCACAGAGGTTTGGAGTTTATAAACACAGATCGTCCCTGTAACTTTTCATTTTGTTTAGTCCATACCCGGTTTACCAATTGGTGTAGCGGCTTTTTACTTTTCTGCCGCCAGAAGCCCCTTGATAGTGCTGAAAGGGACCCACATCTCTCTACAAGTGACATGATAAACTCTGAAGGGACAGCACTAAAGCTGCTTTATTGCCAAAGAAGAAAACCTTTGTCCTCTGCCCTGTTAGGTTCGCTGACTGAACTTAACAAACTGACAAGACAGATCAGCAGGAAAAGTCACCGCTTGAGTAACACTTGAAATTAGTCTTGCATAGGGCTTCACACAAGCAAAGAGCAAGAAAAATAGAGAAGCAGTTACCCTAGCTAGGCCTTTTATCCCAAAAGGTGTAGAGTTACCAAAAAGAGACCTTGTGCACCTGACTAGGAAATAGGCTGATGGCAGAGAGGGTGTCTCCCTCCTGCAGAATTGATGCTCTGTCTTCTGCATGCTTAGGTATCTGAGACTGTTCAGTAGCCTCTCCTCCACATCCTCACAGCACAAGAGCAGGTTTGGGTGTGGGGACACAGGCTGCTTTCTGGTGACACCAGGAAATCAGCAGATAGCTTTTACCTGTGACCAGTGGGTCTACAGTGAGCTGTTCCTCCACTCACAAGAGCTTGGGATGGGGGGGGGGTTCTTTATGCCATGCTGGCCTACATGGTTCTGGTGACAAGTTCACTCTTTGGCTCTGGCTCTGGGGCCATGAGTGAGTAGTATCCAGAGGGGAACCTCCAGTTCTCCAGTAGAACCAAAGAGATGGGAGGAGAGTTCACATAGGCAGGAACTGGGAGGTGAGGGGCGAGCCTGGGCCTATCCCAGTGCCTCCTGGACTTCACTGCACTCTTACCACACCCAGGGTAGGAAGTTTGCTTCATTACCTAACCACTGGTAGGGTTGCACGCAACCAGAGCTTGAGGCCTTTGCTGAAGTGTACGCATGCTGCTGCTGCTTCCAGACTTCAGCATTGAAAATAGGGCCTGGCAAGATGGCCTGGGCAGTTAAAAGAGCTTACTGCTCTTCCGGATTGTCACTGAGCGGCTCCCAGCTGCCTGTAACTCCAGCTCTGAGGGGATCTGATCTGTCTGGCCTTTTTACAGGCATGGCCACTAACTTGCCAACACACATGATCAGAATACTAAAAATACTGTTTTTAAATGAGAAAATGGCTGGGAGTGGTTACATATATCTGTCATCCCAGCTACTACAGAGGCTGAGGCAAGAAAATTAAAGTTCAGGGCCTACTATAAATTAAAAGCCATTGTAAGACCCTATTGCAAACTAAAAAAAGAGGGCTAGATGTAGCTCAGTGGTAAGGCACTTCTCAGCATGCACGAGGTCCAGGGTTCCAGGAGAAAACGCTGGAAAGACTCGGGCAGAGCGTGGACCGATGGTGGGGGCAGAGTGATGGGATGGGCCTGAATTTTCTAGAATAAGGCAGCCTCAAGGATAGGCCTGTGGCTTCCACCACAGCCCCGATGATGGCTAAACCCCACTGGCAGCTAGGTTTCACCCCTTCTTCCTGAGCTGACTTGAGGATCTTGCCAGCACCTTGTCCAGGCCTGGAGTTGATGAGGATTGGATTCTGTAAACAGACCCCAGAGGAGACAAGCGTGTATAGGGATGCTTACTAGTCTGTGATCCACGAACCTGCAAGAGAGCAGAAAAGGAAACTGGACCAGGTCTGACCTAGGAAAATATAGCCAGACCATGAGGGACTCTAAGGGAAGGCACTGTGGGAAGCCATATCTAGTTTGAACTCCCATGGTACATTCCCCACTCTGTCTCACAGACAGCTATGGCACATGGCCCTGGGTGCTGTCCACATGGCTAATAAGGGCTGTTTGCTGACTCTCGGGTGGGCCCCCTGCTTGATGTGTTCTCATGTTTCCAGAAGAAGGAGCAGGAACTCTCTAATCCCATCCAGAGAGCCTATGTCCCAGTCACCTTCCAAAAGTCCAGCCCACCAGCTGGTGGTGGGATTTTGGGGGAGACACTCAAGCCTTAGCCTCTGACATGCTGTGAGCCCTTGTGACCACAGATGGAAAGAGGAGGAGGGAACAGTGTCTTGAAGGGAGAAAAGCTGGGTCTTCAGTGCCAGCTTGGTAGGTGTGTCCTATTGAAAGAGCTTGGACACGCCCACTGAGCACAGAACAAGCTGTCTACAGAGGTGAACAGGACTGGCTCGGGCCGTAGGGCTGAGAACTAAAAATAAGGAGAAACCTCAACTGTGATATCCAGTGAATTTGGGAAAGAGGAGGGGCGCTAGAGGGGATACTTGCCTTTGGAGGACATTGTATCTACCAATCTCTGGACAGATTTCATTTGGTCCAATGGGGAAGAGGTTGGGGTAGGAGGTCAGGAGGGGAAAGACAGACTTCTGTGTCTGGGCCCCACCTTTAGGGCCTGATGCCTCTTGGGATTCTCATGGCACCACCTGGTCTCCATCCCACCAGGGGAGGCTGGAGAAGTCACTGGAGCACCTGAGGAAACAAATGGAGGATGCGATGCTGTTCCAAGCCCAGGCTGAGGAAACCTGTGCCTTGTGGCAGGCAGGTGCTGGGCCTGGGGTGAAAGAGGGAGCGTGGAGTCAGTAGCCGGTGGCCAGACTAACTTCACTGAGACACACCAGCCGGAGTGTATGCGTGTGCGTGAAATATAGGATACCTAAGTTGGATTCTGTCCTGCATTAACCTGTCCTGGGTTACAGAGGGAGCAGGCACGAGGATTCCCAAGGGTAGATTTGGATGGATGTCAGATACAGGGAGGTCTCCAGTAGTAGATCTAGGAGTCAGGGAGGTATTTGGCATTGGGGTAGATTTAGTGTGTCTAGCTGTGGGGTGGCGTCTTTGTCTGGCTGACACCTGGGGCTGGGCTTGTAGCCTGTGTGACAGATGCTGAGTGTGACTGGTCCCAGGACTGGATCTTGGGTCTTGGTAGCCAAGGGTGGTAGATTGGAGGTCTGAGGGCTGAAGGGCTAGTGGGTTTGGGTTGTAAATGGCCCCAAGCGGTATCTGGGCAGCTCCAGGTGACAGATTAGATGTGCTGTCAGATTTTGGGGTCTAGGTAGCTTCTGGTGGTGTATTCTGTGATCAGCCTAGACTGGTGGATTTGGGGTGTGAGCATTCCAAATGGTCAGTCCCTGGTCTAGCATCAGGTTTCTCCCTCAGCTGTCCCTCTTGTGCCCTGCAGAAGATGGTGGAGAGCCAGCGGCAGAACGTGCTGGGCGAGTTTGAGAGGCTGCGCCGCCTGTTGGCAGAGGAAGAGCAGCAGCTGCTGCAGAAGCTGGAGGAA